CTGGAGCGTGCTGTCTCCACAGCCGAGACGTAACTGACTGTGCAAATCATCCTGCTCCATCTCAGTGCAAAACAAATCTCGTCACCTTTAAATTTTCTTTCATAGAAAGCAGTGTAATTTCAATATGCCACTCATGGAATTTAAATATTTCTGTCCTTAGTTGTACCTTTATTGCCTCTATCCTGACTTGATTCTTTACTGCCACTAAAGCACATGAAATAAGGACTTAACTTGATAGACTGGAGTTTTACTCTCGAATGAGAGGAACAGGAGGTTCCCATGAAATGCATATGAGCTACTTATATCCGTATCAGTGCCTTCCTTGTTGGTTTCACTAGGATCCTGCCACCACCTCAGAGAGGAGATACAGAAAGAAACTGCAGACATCTGCCCGGCCTCTGTCTAACAGCTTGCCTGTTACATAGATGTGTCATACACAGTGCGTCCAGAATTTCTCAGCTGTCCTACTCACACTCTTCAAAACAAACAAAAAAAAGAAGAAAAAAAAACCCAAATAAAACCCCATTATTTGACTACCAGGGATTTTAATAATAATAAAAAGAACAAAAAGCCTTTACAAATCAATCCTGCCAGCGTGCTACCAAAGACCTAGGGAGAACTGAAATTCAAACCACTGCTTTTCAGTGTTAGAGCTGATGCTAACACTGGTATATAAGCCGTAAGGTTATCTGTTTTGAGTAATTTTAAAATTCACTATGCAAGCTGCATTTTACACAGGCTTGCAGTAAGGAGGACTGATCTCATGAGGACTCATAAACTAAGCAGAATCAGACCTCATTAATTTGTGGTGAGAAGACTTAAGAGAAAACCCCAGGCTGGGCTTGCCAGTCCTAGAATGATGAATGTGTGCACCAAATCACACTTTCTTTATTTTTATTATTTGAACAAAATACCAGACTGGCCCCTTTTTTCTTTCAACAGAGGCTACTGGCAACCAGCTGGGACCAGGGGAAGCACTGTGCACCCAGTTAGGTCCACCAGCTTCTCCTGGGACACATGGCAGCAGAGCAGAACAGAGGCCGGAGCAAGGACAGTAAGAAACACAGAAGCTTAGCTCTGGGAAATGGCTAGAGCAGAGCCAGTTGCAAAATGCTAATGTTTAGCATGTGAGTTCTGATGAGATATTGAATAGTTTGAGGTTTTTTTGTTTAGTTGGCTGGTTTGGGGTTGTTCGTTTTTTAAAAAAAAACAATACTAAGTTGTTGTGTTTTTTAAAAAAAATTCACCTAGTTCCACTTCAATTTTTTTAAGCGTGGGCTGGAATTTATGACTCAAGATAAGCTTATTTTAGTAGGTTTATTTTGCAACCCCATGAGCAGCACAAATACAGTTTAAGAATTATTCCTTTTGAGTTAGTAGTAGGAAAAAAACCCACTTAGTTTGTTATTGACAGAGATTCCCCAATTCAATTCCAAAAGGAATTTTCACGGTCACTAAGCATTTCCTGGTATATTTAATAATAAAAAAAAAAAGGATTACTGGTCCCAGTATCCTGTCCTAACTCCACACTGGGTAATTACACTGAGCAACCTGGTCTAGTGGGAGGTGTCCCTGCCCACGGCAGGGGGGTTGGGACTAGGTGATCTTTAAGGTCCCTTCCAGCCTAAATCATTCTGTAATTCTATGATTATCCTACTGATGGTCCTATTTAGCTTACATCTGACTTAGGTACTACCAAATTTCCTTTTCCAAAGTGTTATATTCAGGCGTAACAGCTGCTCTGCTCTGAAAGAGGCAGTATTTTAGTACTAAGAGCAAACAGTCTTGTCTTTTTAGTTGTATTAAAAGCTTTAAAACCAAGTGGCATAACAAAAGCAATGTATGTAAAGGTAACTAATATGATTTAACACATAGCAAAATGTATCAACACAATAGTACTGGAGTGCTCATTATCTTTAAATACCAAGAGTTTATGGGCACATTTCTTCAACAGCACAATGCTCGTACATTTGGGAAAAAAAAAAAAAAAAAAAAGACAGATACATTTTTATTGTATTTTTTTCAGCCTTCAAACATTTGTTTAACAGCAAAAAAGACATACAGGAAACAAGTAATATAAAAACCTTGTATGCTTTTGTAATCATCTTCTCAAGACCTTAGGAATTTAGCTACTGTAAATGACAGCAAAATAATACATAATAATAATGCTCTGATCTAAACATACCTCACAAATAAATTGATACTAAAACAATATGTGGTCAATTATGTCAGCCATTAAATTGGAGTCACCTCTAACATGAAATATGTAAGCAATTTAATCTTGTGCAAACACAAATTAACATAGAAAGCAGAGTACTCTATCTAAGTCAAACGACAGGGAGAAAAGAGTTATCTGCAATGGAATTTGGCATGAACATGAACATTAATACCCCAGGCTCTTTTATGATAACAAAAGGTCTACCACCCAGTTTTCCATCAAGTTTAAAATAAGGCATTTTTATGCCTGATAAAACTGTGCTGAGACATTACTTTGCTAAGTCTCTAGAGGAAGAGAATTACCAGTTCCACTTGTTGACAGCAATGTTTTCTAAACCTGCATGTCGGCCTGCAGGACACATGCTCATCTACAGAACCGCATCACTGAAGCACAGATTAAATTCAGCTAAAAGTTAGAACCGCATGCTTGTTCCACAACAGTTAAACCCAGACTCCTCACTGACTTACAGCATTGTACACATTGAAGCACGCATCATTAAAAGATATCTCAAGTAAATACAGGGAAGACAAAAAATAAAGCTGGAGAAACTGGTACTGAATGAAAGACAACTTGAACTTGACATCCTAGATCCGATACAATCTATTCCTGTTATGACCCAGATCTTGAAGCTATGTAGTGACTGGCCTTCCACCTTCAGGGGGTGCAGCCCAGTTTCAGCCAACTGACAGGAGACCAGAGGACGTGAGCACAGAGCTGGAATACTGTGTCCAGTTTGGAGCTCCTCAATACAAAAAACCCCAGAACACTGACATACTGGAGAGAGCCCAGAAGAAGAACATCAAGTTGTTTGGGGTAGGAAAACATGATATTCAAGGACAGGCTGAGAGAACTGGGTCTGCTCAGTCTTAAACAGAGAAGATGAACGGGAGACCTTACTGCTGTCTACATGATCAGAGGATGCAAAGAAGATGGAGCCAGAGCTTTCTTGGAGGAGCCTGGCTACAGGACAAGAAGCAAAAAAAAAAAAAAAAAAAAAGAAAAAAAGCAACTTGGAACATGGGAAATTCTGCATACATCCTAGGAAATATTATTTTTTTTATTTTATTTCTTTTCATACCATGAAAGTGGTCAAATATTGGAACAGATTCCCCAGAAAGGTGGTGGAATCTCCATCCCTGGAGGTGTTCAAGACTAGACTGGCCAGAGCCCTAAGGAATCCCTGTTTTGAGAAGGTGTTGGACTGGATGACGTATGGATTTTCCTTTCAGTGTGGCAAGGTACAGAGTAATGAAATAAAGCGTAAGAGGAGTTCACCGTCTATCAACATCACAAAGAAAATCTGGAGGTTGGTTTGAGACCATGTGGCTGCTGCTTATCAGTGAGGTAAAGGTCAGCCATGCAAGAGAGAAAGGGAGAGTTACAGGGTTTGCAGCTATGAAGTCATTCACCAGAGCTGGAGGTCTACGGACACATCTGCAATTGAGTCATTCTGTAACTTACTATCCACAAGCAATCTTTTCTACTCTAGTAGAATTTTTTCACCTTCCTGGTCTGGCCTGATCTATATTCCTCACACTTTCACTAGCTGTCAACTATCACAACAATAAGGTTTCCACAGGTAAAAAGTCCTCAGCACCTAGGAGGCTCCAGCTAACAGTGAACCCCGTATAGCAGTTCATACATTCGCAACTGGCTACACTACCTTTGTATTAAACCTTACTGGAGATAAGGACCAAGACATAGAATTTAAGGTGCTTCATAACCTGCATTGTCTAGAAAACACCTACATCTTCACAACAAAGACTGTATCTGTGCTCCTGCCCACATTCATAATTAATTTCTACTCTAGTCTGAAACACCACACTTCCTTAGAAGCCAAAGCAAAAACTGAGAATTAACTTCCCAGCAACTTAAAACCACAACTTGGACCTAAAAACAAAACACGACCCTGCTTTCTCTATCATAAACACATAGCAGTAATGCATTATTTAAAAAAGCAACAAAACCAAACATGCAGAGCAATAACATGAAAACTCTTTCAAAGCAAAACTTCACCACACTTTTCTCCATCTGGAAAGAAAATGAGAGAACAAACAAACACGTGGCAAACGTTAGCCAGCTTGCCAAACGCATGATTACAATAAGCTGAAGTGCCGTGTGATAAGAATGGTTTAAGCAGCTCTATAGAATAGAAGGGATGGCAAGTCTTTATTTCTCTCTCTGCTTGGCTCAGAGGCTATTATCTGACTATCACTTAAAAGAGGCTTAAGGGGCCTGGGGAAAAATTTGTTGACTTTCCAGTTTGCCTTAACGTGTCCTCAGGTCCATTCACCTGGTAGAGAAACCTCGAACATCTCATGCAGACAAACCCAGCATGCTGAACAGAGCCTGAAAACTTCCTAATGTCAAAATATCCTACTCTGGCAGGATGGGACCTAACAACTAAAGTGTGGTATAATCAGTGTGTTAAAAATTCACTTTGTGACCCCTAGGCAAGTTATTTTGCCTCTTTGTTTCTGTTCTCTCATTACTTCAGGGAACTGCGTTACTTACCCCTCATTCTCTGCTCAGTTTATGAAGATCAGTAATTAATGTTTGATAATGGTAAATGCCAGGAGGCATGCTAGACTTTACATGTTCAGAAAAGGAAGTGCCAAATGCTTCATAGCCCTATTTTTTTCCATATGAAACAATAAGCTAGCTGGATGTGCTTCTGGACGCACGTTATGGAAGTGTGTTTATATATATCTGGTGCCCACCAGATATCTTGGACTTTGTGATTCAACACTGTAAGCATGAAAAAGGAGCTCTGACAGCTTACCTGCAGTTTCAATGCAAGGGTATGAAGGAGGAGGTTTCTGCCATTTCCCATTTGCATCTTTCATGTGAGATCTGTCTGAAGCAAACGTCTTCAAGTACAAATCTGCTCGAATCATTCTGATTTTCCTAAGTAATAATGCAAAATTGTATCAAAAGATGCATGTATACAATGCTGCATTAGTCACTCAGAACAAGAATCCATTCCTCCCATCAAGAAGCATTAATTTCATTAAATACATAAACCAGCAACATTGTGCCAAACAGTTAACTAGTTAACAAGAAGCTACAGTAGGAAAAAAAAAAAGGCTTTTGATGATTATGGTAAAGAGCTTTAAAAAAATAACACAGTGCATTTATTTTACTGGAGTATAGCAAAAAAAAAACCCTCTGTCACTACGCATTCACAAAGAGAACTTCAGCTTTGATTTCATGAAATAACATTCATGGTCTTTATATTTTGTGACATCACCTGTGAAATTCTGGATGAAGGCTGTCATCCAGCCTAAAGGCCTCCAGACTGTACATGTCAAAAGGACAGGGAAACGGCAACACTGTGTCAAGATCATAAATGAAGTTCTGCTCCCCACTGGAAACATGAAGTAGAATAACATGGTAGTCCTAGGAAGAAGGGTAATTGCCATTAAACATCTGGGGGTGAAAAAAAAATAAATCTTCCTAAAAGCAGAAGCTACAGATCCTTTCTTTAAATCTTGTTTTCTGCCCTTTAAGTATCAAGCCTGTAACATTTCTGCCACCAGGAGAGAGATATCCTAACACCTGTCTTGCCCATCGTGCCTTTCAAGAAACATTGGTGTCCTCCCCTTTCCTTTATAGCCTCCTTTGTCGTAAGCCTGGATGGCTAAACTAAAGTGTACGCTACTCCTAAGAAAACAGCGAATCTCTTTCATGTTCCACACCAAAACACAAAAGTTGACTGGGGTAAGCATTTTTGTCTTAGACCCAGTCCTAGATAAAAGCTCACAACAATATATCATAGCTTAACATTAAAATTATCTAGTGATCTCTTCTAGTAAGAAATGTAGCACCTGTTGCAGTAACACTGTGAATTTGAGTGCCGAGTGTTTAGCAGCCAGAAGCACCTGAAAAAACAGCATGCCACTGAAAAAGCAGCAAATGGCTTAGTTCAAGGGGAGTGCAGGAATAAGACCAATTCCTGCAGTAGCTCTTGAAGCTGGGAAAAAATACCTATGGGTACTATATCACACTTTTTCAAGGTACCTATTTTGTCTTGACACTCGGATTATGAGATGCAGTTTTAACCCTTAACTTGTAAGAAACGTAAGTGTGGTGGAGATTTGGAGACACTGCAGTTACTTATGTTAGGTGTCAGGTACATACACTGCTGTCTTCCAAAATTAAATTGAAGGTAGCTGTTAACAGCTTACTAAAGCTTACATCAAATCCACTCACAAAAAGAGGCTGAAGCACTGACTTTCGACACTTTCAATATCAAACAAAATCATAAAGGGACTGGAATGAAAAAGATCTTTGGCAAGCTATTTTGCCCAACCAAGATACACATGCAACTGTATGCAACAATATTTAGAAGAATCTGTTGCAGAGTATAAGAAAAATTAACTACAAGGTTTACATATCCTACCATCCACTGAAACATCAAAGTTAAAACACCTTTCAATCCATGAATTTTTTATGGGAAATCCACATTCTGCGGTGGCCTTTCCTGACTCTCCTATTCCTTTGAAGACCATCTTCGTAACACTTGGATCTCTTTAGGCCAAACCTTTTTTGTACTATAAATACACTGGTATTTTGGGAGAGAATGAATGAATCGGAAATCACAAAATATCTGAAGTTTGCAGATTATTTTGCAGAATTTCAGACACAGAATTTGACCCAAGAAATAGAGTTTTTCCATGCCAGATAACTGAAAGAACTCTGTAATGATACATATTTGAAAGAAACTCTGTAGTGGCAATTGCTGAATTAATTAATTGATCAAATGACACACCAAAGCCACCATTTATGGGTCAGTTTAATTGATAACATCTGAATGCATATATTGCTTGTAGTTTTCTGTTCTCTGTCAGGCCTACATTTATATTTTCACCCATCTACTTCTAACAAGTACAGCCATCTACTTAAAATTCTACAAAGCTAGTAGCCTCAACAATATCCAGCTAGTAATTTTCACAAATCTGTTATGTACTCTTACCAATGTTACAGTTTTTCACCTGTAGATTTTACTGACTGTCTCGCTGTTAATTTACTATGAATGGTAAAAAGGAGCACCAGATTTAGGCTCTTTATAAATCTATTGTAAAAGAATAGCTATTAATACAGAACTATAGAATGGCTGAGATTGGAAGGGACCTCTGGAGGTCATTTAGTCCAACCCCTCTGCTCAAGCAGGGGTACCTAGAGACAGCTGACCCGGACCACGTCCGGGCAGCTTTTGATTATGTCCAAGGATGGAGATGCCACAGCCTCTCTGGGCAACCTGCTCCAGTGCTCTGTCACCCTCACAGTAAAAACGTGTTTCCTGATGTTCACATGGGACAGTTTGTCACAGTGAAGGTGGCTGACACTGCCCACGTGATCCTGCAGCTCTCAACTACAGAAGCACACATTTAAAATTACTGAGAGAACAGAATGCCTTACCCAGACAACAGGCTCATCTCCGTGTCCTGATTTTTGCTTCCAGAGTGGAATCTGAAAGTTATATGTGGAAAATCTGAAGTGAATAAAAACTTTCAGATTAATACAGATTAATTTCGGGTTAACTGGTTAGTTCTTTGCTATCCTATCCATGTCATCCACTTACATGGGTGGTGCAGTCAGAAAGTTTTCCCTAGTCAGACAATTTTCTCCATCTTCCAGGAGCATGAAGTTGGAGATTCTAGTCTGGACCATATAATATACTCATTCTCCTAAACTCACAGATTACAGGGGAGAATTCCCTCACAGCTCATAGGGATATCATGCCCCTTCCCATGGTCCTCAACGCATCAGATAACTGAAAGATCTCACGCGGTGTGGTTTGCACACCTCTGAGCCACAACGAGCTACAAGAGGGTTTTGGCCCACGTCCCACTGAAGTCTAAAGGTCTGGGACCACGTCTCACCTATGTCAGGCTGTAATCTAAAGGCCTGGGACCAGGTCTCACCCACGCTGGGCTGTGGTCCGAAGGTCTGAATCCCTCCACAGCTGCGTTCAGATCACATCTCATTGACTCACCATCCTCCTATCATTGGATATGAAAACAGCATAGAATTCTTCTAAAGGGTATTGATCCTGACTCCTGATGTAGTCACAAAGTTTCCAAACGTTTTCTTCGCTGTAAAACACAAGAATTGTTTATTCCCCTCCCCCCGCAACTTCATTTCTAACGGGCAGAAGGGAGCCGAGGGGCGCTGCCCGCCGAAAGCCGCCCGATGTGAACTCCACTCGCGGCCTGAGGCGCTGCGGGTGACAC